TTTGAGATTTATCATATTCCAGGCACATTTTTATTGTTATACTTAGTCTGTTTACTATCCTTATGTGGCTCTCTTTCCCACTAGATTCTGAATGATCTTTGCATGGGAATTATTATTGCAGTTATGGTAGCTAACATAGTATCTGTGTTTAGTAGGCATTTTATGAATATTTAGTGAATGATATGGTTAACTAATTAGCAAGTGAATCTAAGTGGAACTCTTTTGTAAGACATTATGATTTAATGCATATTTTATGTGCTTTTACTTATAATTAACTCACATAGTTCATATAAAATCAATGATCGAAAATTTCTGTCTGATATAGTCTTAATTTTAGGCCATATTTAATTTTTTCATTGAAAAATAATAAAACTTTGTTAAACTAAGGAAGTATCTTTAAATGTGGTGTCCATATTTTTCATGACTTTGTCATATCCACTTGTTTATTTGACAAATACTTGTTGAGAGCCTGCTATATGGTAGGTGCTATTCAAAGTGCTACAGAAGCCACAGGAACTAAAACAAAAATGTAAGCCCTCAGGAAATTTTAACAAAATTCATATGTGTGAGGTAAAAACTTTAAAATGGAATTTAAACTAATTGTTGATTTTTAAAAAAGAAGGGAGAATTCATGTTGTTAATGGTGTAGCTGCCATTATCTGAAGATGCATATGCATGTAATTAAGGAATTGAAGGTATTTAGAGAACAGTAAAATAGCTACTGTGATCATAAGATAATGAACAGATGTTTTTGGATTTTTTCCTTTGGCATTATCTTATTCTCAATGCTTTGAAGAATGAATACATACAGAGAAAAGATTTATGTATTCTTTTTGATGTCATGTAAAGATGCATTTCAAAATTTAGAAAACAATAATAACAGTTGTTTAATTAATCTGTCTAACCTACTACTAAATACCTTTAGAATTGCTTCATAGCATCATGGAAACAGACTCTCAGTGAAAGCAAGAAAAGCTTCTTAAATGCAAGGATATAGATTCTATTTAATACCAGTGCTTAGACCTTCTTGTTTTTCTAGGACCTTCCTGAGGTTGAGCAATTTATACACTAAAAAGGTTTGTTTTGACTCACGATTCTATATGATGATGGTATGTTGGGAGCCGGCCACAGAGGCCCACTGAGCATTAGGGATCAGGAAGGGCCGTTGACCCCGGGACCACTAGGATGTGTTCTGGAGCTATTGACCCCATTTCCTCCCCCTTTCTACTCAGCACTAACTAGATTAAGCTCCTGTGAGCTCAAAACATAACTCTGAGACTGGGATGAACACAAGCTAACTTTAGAAGCTCATTGCTCCCATTCTTCTGCAAACTGCAGTTTTGGATTTCACACAACTTATAATTCAAACTCGGGTCACATCTAAGAGCCTTAGTATTGGTCACAGACTTCTGAGTCATGATCTTAGGATTTATTGAAGGTGTAAATTGTAGAATATAGTTGTAGAAGACAGCCATTTTGTTGAAAGAATGTGGCTGGGTTACTTGCAGGTAACCCACTGTGAACTTTGGACTGGGCCACATTCCAAACATTCTGGGATGGGCCACTTTCGTTTGTAAAGTAAATACTTAAGCTTCTATAGAATTGTCTAACTTGGCATAAATCAATCAGCTTAGGATGAAAAAGGTTTATAGAATATGTCAGTCACGGATTAGGTTATCCTTTGTTATGGGATTTTAAGATTATCATATGAAAAGGGTTTAAAGGCAATAATTGATTAAGTTTTCATGGATTAAGTTTTCTGGTGGGTGGGAGACGCCCCCTCCCACATCTGACTTTGTGTATAAAAGACCCATTGTAATTCCCAATAACACACATCGCTTCTGCGCTAGACCAGAGTCCAGTCTTTCTTTCTCTCTTTCTCTCTTCCTTCTTCCCCCCAATCACTGATGCCGTCTCCACCTTTGGGGTACCCTGAACCCGGCTGGAGCTGGTCTCCAGCAGACATGTATCACGGGAGATGATTTAATGCGTTTTACCAAAGATGCAAAAGATCAGGGCTGAGGTGTTTTTGAGCACCGGAACCATTTTGAGAGGTGCCTGTCCATGCCACAGGGTGCTGCTCACCATGAAGACACAAACTGTGGATGCAGACAGCCTAGATCAAGTTCAAAGGGT